GGCCGATGCCAAGCTTCTTTTGAACAAATCAAGGAATACTTACAGAACCCACCCGTGTTGTCACTGCCCTAGCCGGGGAAATTGTTGATTTTGTATCTTTCAGTAACTGAGACTACAATGGGCTGCATGCTCGCACAAGAGTTTGAGGACAAGGTAGAGAGGGCTATCTACTATCTGAGCAAGAAGATGCTGGAGTATGAAACCCGCTACACACCATTGGAAAATGCTTGCTTAGCCTTGGTATGGGCTTCCAAGAAGCTGCGGCACTACCTGTTAGCTCACTCTGTAATGTTGGTTTCAAGATTAGATCCCATCAAATATCTTTTCGAGAAACCGGCACTTACGAGTAAGCTGGCTCATTAGTTGCTGTTGCTTTCCGAATTCGATCTGAAATATGTGACGCGCAAGTCAGTCAAGGGAAGAGTGGTAGCAGAGTTCTTAGTCGATCATCCAGTGGAAGGAGGTGAAGCAGTTGAGTACTTATTCCCAGATGAGGCCATTTTTCATATCAAAGACGAAACTTGGACGATGTACTTTGACGGAGCGTCAAATCAATATGGGTATGGGATAGGAGTGTTGCTAATAGCACCTGCCAATTCCCGTATCCCTCTTGCCTTCAAACTCCGGTCAAAGTCTCGAACAACGAAGCAGAATATGAAGCATGCATTACTGGTTTAGAGGCAGCCCTGGAACTAAGGGCAAAACGGTTGGACGTCATCGGGGACTCGAACCTTGTTGTATCTCAAGCGAAAGGAGATTGGAAAGTCAAAGAAGAAAAGATGATAATGTATCATCAGGCCTTGGACTTATTAATTCCTCAGTTTGAGAAACTAAACTTTGCTCATCTGTTAAGAGAAAACAACAGGTTCGCAGATGCACTAGCAACTCTAACTTCCATGATAGATATCCCTTTTAGAGTCCGGATGCGTCTGATCATCATTGACCAGAAATTCGCGCCAGCCTACGAGTCAGTTGTTGCTATAGATGAGGTTCAAGATGAGAACCCCTGGTACTACGACGTCTGGAACTTCTTGGAAAAAAAGGCGTATCCACCAGGGGCAAATGCCAAGGATAAAAGGGTAATCAGAAAAATGGTCGTTCAGTTCATCATCTGTGGGGGTAAATTGTACAAAAAAGTCATCTGGGAATGCACAAGCTGTGTGTCGATGCCGAAGAATCGAAGCGCCTAATGGAGGCCATCCATGGAGGAGAATGCGACGCGCACATGAATGGGGTGATGTTAGCTCGGAAGATCCTCAGACAAGGTTACTACTGGTCCACCATGGAGGAGGATTGTATCGACTTTGTTCGGCGATGCCACAAATGTCAGATCCATGCAAACCGCATGAACATCCTGCCGTCAAAGCTATACAATATGACTTCGCCATGGCCATTTTCAGTTTGAGGAATCGATGTGATCGGGGCCGTCACTCTGAAAGGGTCTAATGGGCTTGAGTTCATTCTAGTCGCGATAGATTATTTCACGAAGTGGGTCGAGGCCCAATCTTATGCGGTGTTGAAGGCTTCGCACGTTGCAAAGTTCATCAGGAACAACATCATTTGTCGCTATGGGGTCCCGAACGAGATCATTTCAGATAATAGTTCCCACTTCAAGAAGGAAGTGATTGACTTGTTGGAAAAATACAATGTGGCTTTTCATAAGTCATCCACTTACCGGCCTCAGACCAATGGAGCAGTTGAGGCCGCCAACAAGAACATCAAACACATCTTGCAGAAGATTGTGGAAACCTACCAGGACTGGCCAGACAAGCTACCGTTTGCTCTGTGGGGCTACCGGACTTCAATTAGAACTTCTAATGGAGCAACTCCGTATTTATTGATTTATGGATGGAGGCTGTTCTACCTATCGAAATTGAAGTTCCGTCTTTACGAGTATTGGTCGAGTGTCAGATAGTTGAGGCAGATTAGCAGCAGAGTAGATTCGAAGAACTCATGCTGTTTGATGAGAGAAGACTGAAAGCACTGTACCATGTTCAGGGTTATCAACGAAGAATCGCCAGGGCTTTCAACAAGAAAGTTAAGTCCAGAAATTTAAAAGAAGGAGATTTGGTGCTCAAAGACAACCGAGCTCTCATTCATGACCCTAGGGGCAAGTTCAAATCCAACTGGACTGGTCTTTACATCATTAAGTCTATTTGGTCAGGTGGAGCTGTCGTTTTGATGGACTTTGATGGCCTAGAGTTCTCACAGCCGATCAACATGGACAAGTTGAAGAAATATTATCCCTGAGTGGCTCGCTAGGCCGAAAACCCGAAAGGGTAACCTAGGCAAAAGTTAGAGCATGAAAAATTTGAAATTACAAAAACTGAGCTCGCAAGGTTGAAAACTCGTAAAGGGCAGCCTTGGAAAAAGTTAGAGAGTAAAAGGAGAGTGAAAATACTCGAGTGAACCCGCGCCTGAACTACGTAAGGCTTGATTCCCATCTTTGGGATACGTAGGCAACTTCATCTTGAAGTTCAGCCATAAACTTTTCCCTGATCAACTTTGTCCATTTGATCATCTCGGTCATCTTTGTCTATTCAGCATTCAAGAGCTTCGGTTGTGATCTCCGGTGCAGTGTTATTCAAACTAGGGGCAACTTTCCGGTTGCTGGGATCCGGGGTTGTTCATCTCAGTGACAAATCTCAGGCGTGTCTAGTTCTGATCCATATTGAAAATGGTTTTGAAAATTTTTAATAAAAGTTGATTTTGTTCAAATTAATCTTTTTACAACTTAGACCATTTTTGGACCAAAGCGAAAAATTTTCAGTACCCACAACCTTCAATTATATTGATTTCAATACAGAGTTCTCCTGCTCTCGAATACGAATTAAAGTTGTTTTTTTATTACATTCATAAGGAAAACTTGAAAGTACTAATAAAATAATAAATCCGAGACATAGATAAGTCAGGTGTTCCTGCGCCCCCTCCCAGAACTGGTCGAAGCTTCTGATGCCAAGCTGGGCCCAATCTGTGCCTCTTCATTGAGCCAATCTACGCACTCATCAGACAAAGTGCAATTGAAAGTGAGAACGGGGGCCAGGAGCTCTCTAGTCCTTCATGATGTGACATACCGAGCAAGCTGCGTGCCTCGGACCGGAAATACAGCTGGGTACTCTATCCCCTCTGGCGGGCAAGTCTGATCATGGCCGAACTGGCGCTGGAACCAGAAAGGAAAGTAAAACACGCAGTGCGTCAGACCAATCAACTGAATCCCGGGTTGTCGGGACATGCTGTAACTCATTACCAGTAAATTGAGCCAAGGACAACACCCAGCAATGCGGTCTGTTGACAAATTGCACATCCAGTCAAACCACCAGTCCTCATCCAGGGCATCGACTAGACACTATCGGAAGAAGTAGCCGAGAGCTAAGTATGCTGGGCAAGAGTCCACAACCTGTAACTTGTCTATCAACCACACCTGGGGAGGGACGAAAAATGAGAGATTAAAGAATAGAGAGGTGTACGATGAGAGAAAAGTGAGAAAAGGATTTCGAGAGAAAAATCAAGCCTGAGGGTCGAGTGATGTGATCAATATATATGTGAGGAAGGGTGGGAACATTACCTGTAACAGTAGTGGACTCCCAGCAAATCTGGTTGTCTCTCGGCGATGAAAAGCATCCAAGCCCATCAATGTCTCGGCCAATGATATGGCAATGCAACTTTTGCCTTCCCTTAAGCCTTGGGCAACCTCGATCAACCGGACACTAGATCCTCCGCAACCTGAGGCAAGCAAGAAGTGTGATAGCATGCACAAGCAAAGGGCATGACGCCAAAAACCTTGCAAATGATGGTCACCGCGGTCACCGGCGTCAGAAAAGTGATAAATCAAGCCAAGGATGTCCAATTCTCTGTTGTAGATCAAAGACCGAGCATCATGCATAGTGAGTCCACACATCCGTCCCAAAGTTTGGGCGTGGCCGAAGCGAAACTAGGGCAAGATTTCTTCACCGTGCTCGGACTCCATCAAAGCTTGGAAATCTTCGAAGGTAGGACACACCTCTTGCCGGCCAAAGCTAAAGACATGTCTTATCGGATTCCAAAACCTCGCCGCGGCATGGAGGAATGGAAGATGTAGCAGAGTGTGGCTCAACGTGAATAGTGCATTCAAGCCGAAGCCCCGGAAGTTCAACTTTTTCGAGCCGTCTAAAGTAGCAATCCAAGCTGCGAGATTTTTGATGAGGAATGCCTCCATTTTGATCCAAAACTGAGATGAAATGAAAGAACCACGAAGCTGGAACTTTTATAGAGGATACAGCACTGTTTAGGGACACGTGTCAAAAATCTGGTGGTCGCCAAACCAGGTGGTCGGCCGACCACTTTTTCTGGTAGGCCGACCATCCCTTTGGTCTCCAAGAAAAGCAACTGATCGGCCAGCCTCCTTAGGTGGTCGGCCATGGAGAAAAGCAAGGCTTTGGTCTTGTCCTAGCTTCTAGAAGAGAGTTCCTAGCCTTTCCATGCGTTGGAAGTATTGAAGGTCCGTGTTTTCCTCGGTTTCGGATGCATTCCATCACCCGTTATGTCAGAAATGCATTTGTTTATCGAGTTGCTGTTGAGTCTTGTTTATCGAGTTGTTGTTTTGCTTATCGAGTTGTTGTTTTGCTTACCGAGTTGTTTTGTTTATCGGGTCATTAAGTTTTACCGGATTGTCAAGTTTTGTTCGTCGAATTGTTGTTCATTGTTCATCGACATTTCCGGAATTTGCTTATCGAGTTGTAAACTTGCTAAGGTTTTGTTGTTTCTTAGTAAGTTAGGTTGTTTAGTTTGTTGCATCGGTTCACTACCTGACCTGGCAATTTTCAATGCTCAATTTTCATCAATCTCATCTTTATGCAAAATGATGCGATGCGATGCTATGCTAAGAATATAAAGTACAACACTTTTCAAACAAAAAGCTGTTTCATTTCATCATAGTTCTTTTTACAACATTTTACAACAAGGGTACAAGTTTTATAGAAAATAAAACTGCCTAACAATGTACAATCTGCTACAACTACTAGTAAAAAGGCAAATAAATCAGGAACAACTGCATCAGTGCTATCAAGAATAGGAATAAGAGGCCCTCTTCGTCCTCTTCTGCGGAACAACCTCTGCACCATCATCATCATCTGAATCGAAGCCGCCGTCCTCGGAACCCTCCTCGGCATCATCTCCACTACTAGAATCGGAACCAGAGTCACCCTTTCTGTCTGCGGATGTCTTTGACTGGGGATAGGCAGGCTCCTCCTCCTCGCTGGACTCCTCCTCTATGATAGGCGCTCTGTGTCCGCCTCGGCTGTGAGTCGAACCCCCTCTCCCAGCTCCCCGAGAAGGCCTGGATGGCCCAACCTGTGGCTCAGTCTGTAGCGGAGGCATCTGAAAAAAAAAGAGGGCAATTTGAATACATTAGCCAATATGTGTATCAAATGCAGAGACAAGAAAGCTACATGGAGTAGATGCATGCGGATATAGTATATGAATGTGGTGTGTGTCAGGTGTGTTCTACACATGCAGTCAATCAATGCAGTGAAATGGTCGAATTCGGCATGTCATCAGAAGTATGATAAATGTAAGAAAATCGAAAAGTACCGAAACACCGACAATGAACAGCTGCGTCTCTCTCCGCAAGACCATGCCCTCGAGTGAGGCCACCAACCCGAGAAACCCCTCAGTATACTCGCTGGGAGGCTATAGATGCAAATGCAAGATATCAGTGAATGAATGAATCTCCAAATATCTTAGTGATAAATCAAAACTATAAAGCATACTGGTGGCGAGTCAGGGTCTGACGTATCAGTGATCGAGCATGGGAGGCTCTATTGGAATCGGGTAAGATGTCCTGTATCGCCATCCTGTCAACTCAATCAGAATATCTGGCCATTCGGCGTGATGATAAGTCGGAGGAATCGGGGGAACCAGTCCAGCCCCACCTCTCGACGTGCTGGCCCTGCTAGTCGAAGGGGCACCTACAGCCTGGGCTCGACTCGACGATGGCATGCCAGCAGACCTCTTCGTGGGAGTACGGACACCTGTCAATGGGGGCATCAGGTATGTATGACGGTAGGTCGCGTACTCTCCCTCCTCCAAATGTAGAGTTACATCGGTGTCCATCATAGCCAAATCAACCTCCTGGGGAGTGAGTCTCTCAGTGGACCGCATATCGTCCGAAGGTGCTGTGGGGACACTCTGCTCGGGGTAGCCCATCGTCTGACGCAGAAAACGGTCCCCCAGAAACCAGGCCCTGCTAGCCGGCCCCTTAAATAGGATCCTGTACTGAGAAGCGGCCCAATCCCCAGGAAACTGAAATCGGGTATCTCCACCCAAGGGCGCCCAGGGCTGCCAGGTGACCTGCGAATAATCAAGTGCATAAGCCGATTAGAAATCGTAAATGTGCAAGATGAATCAAAGGTGAAAACATGGAGAACTGAGAGTTCTGAATTACCTCGTTCGCCGGCACCGTGTCAAAGAACTGTCGCAAGAAGGGCAGAGTCTCTCGGGCCCTCGGCCGGTACTGGCCCTCAAATACGAGCGAGTAAGGAATCACAAGAGGAGCCTCCACCTCGAGCTCCGGGGCTAGCGTCGGAAAGTACGCGAAAACCCATAACTGTGGAAAACAGGGCAATAGCCATCAGAATACAGAATGCTGAGTGCAGAATGCGAATATAGAATGTACAGAGAATGCGGAATGCTGAGAGCGGAGCACAAAGTACATAATGTAAAGTGTGCCATGTGTGCAGTGTACAAATAATAAAAAGCAGAAATGTAAATCAAGAGAGCAGAAAGTACCTCCCAGGCTCTCCAATAGCCGCCGACTATGTTCCCCCGCCCGCGGGAGGTCGCACTCATGTAACAATAAAGGGTAGTAAGGCCAACGCCACCCTAGTCGTACTGACTGACCTGTGATAGGTCCACTAGAGCACTGAGCAAATACAGTCCAACTGTGTTCCCCCTGTCAGAGAACAAAGTGGTCCCCAGAAGGAACATCAAAAACCCTCGAGTGTACTGCTCTATCTCCTCGAGAGTCTCGAGCACAGTCTCTCTGAAATGTGTGGAAAACCAAGTGTACCTCACTCTGCCCGAAGATCTGTCAATAGGTGGGCAAACTCCCAACAGATAGATCCAAGCGGCCTCTCACTCGCCCATGTCCTTGTCATAGAGGACCGGTCGGCCGGCCGCATCAAGGCCAGTCAGCATCGCAAAGTCAAACGGGGTCATCGTCATATCTCCGGTAGCTGAAAAATGGAAGGAGTTGGTGGTGTCCAACCATTTCTCCATGAGGGCCCCCATCAAGGTCCGACTCGCCGGATAACGTGATATCCCTGCGCAAAAGGGTCCGAACCCTGCCTGGTCAACCAGATCACGAACGGTCTCTGGGAGCTCCGCGTACCACTCCTAGCAATGATCGAGCCATAGCCTCGTGTAATACGGGAAGATACATGCATTCAGAATGGACACATGTATTCAGTTTCAACATGAAAGTATGAACTGTGTGCAAATCAAATCAAATACAATGCTTATGGACTGCGTGTTTAGTATGAGCTGCGTGCAAATGCAATGAAATGAGCTGCGTGTTCAACATGAAGTATATGAGCTGTGTGTTCAGAATTGAAGTTTGTGATCTACGTGTTCGGTACAAAGTATATGAGCTGTGTGTTCAGAGTTCAAAGTCAAAAGTATGAGCTGTGTGTTCAGAATTGAAGTGTGTGAGCTGCGTGTTCGGTACTGTAGACGCACCCGCGTGAGGGGGGGCCTTCGCTACTACAGTTCGGACTCGCGATTTTGTTATCGCGGTTCTTAATCTGAACCAAAGAGTCCAAATCTGGCAAATCGTTTTGAGAAACAGATTTTTGAAAAAGTAGCGCCAAACATGGACTGCTTTGCCAGATACAGAGTCGCCACCTAAATATTTTAAAATGGGGAAATTTAGGAAACCCTGACTCGGTGCCGAAGGCCACATGTCCGTCATCACCGGAGTTGTCTCGGCTCGGGAGCTTGGGTACGATTGGGGAAGGTTAGCTATGAGCACCCCCTTTCGCCTGGTCCGAAGACCGGCCTCTACTAACCATGATATCCGATTTTGAAAACACTACGTGTTCTTATTCCATTAATTAGCCTAGAATTACTATGTTATGCGCGCAGCAAACAAGTATAGACTAGATTGCCTATTTTGGAAATAAACATTGCATATCCGTTCGGTTTGAAAATGCTTTGGAATTTGCTACTCGCAAGTAGGCTAAAACACGGATTTCAACGAGTTTTTCCAACTCAAACAACCCAACCTTCACCCACAGGCATTCAAAACAGTTTAACACATAAGCATCTAGCCACATGTTAAG